AGCTCCTGTTGTCTTCGGGCCCCTCCCTTTACGCCACTCAGGCCAGAGAAATCAGCATGGTTACATTTGTTAACACCCTTCTCTGTTCTCATACCCACCCACTTAGACTATGGTATATATACTGTGACATTTTTTGTTTATTTTTAATAAAATGGGATGTACTAACTCAGTCTCTACAATGCAGTTTTTGTTGGATGATCTTTAAGCTCCTTCAGAGACAAAATGTTACCGAACCCTGAGTTAGGCCCACTGTCATGCTCTGACAATGAGCTTGGTTTCATGCAGCGGGTCTCTGACACTTCCTTGTGTCTCTGTGTCTTGCTTCTGGACTGAGGCCTCCGTGTGGAGTTACTGTGGCATTTATTTTCCCGTTCTTCTCTGAGTCTATGTCACAGAATCTGATAGGTTCACACACCTTTCACTGCTTCGGTTAATCTGGGCTTCATTGTGGCTGATTGATACATTTGCTTTTCTATTACAGAAGTCAGTGATGCCCTTGGAGAATCCCCATCTGGCTTTTTCTTGTGGCTTTTCTGCTTTTGCCAGGCACTTATTTGAGCCAGTCTTCTCAGTTCTGCGTCTATATTAGGGCAGGTGACTAAAGGGCTGTGGATGTAAAGAATTTTCTGTGATAGTCCAGGGGTTTGCTGGCCTGGGTTCAGGTGCAGAAACAATGGCTTTCATTCATTAAATTCAAGTAACTCTCAATTACACATAAAGCTTCCCCAACTATGGATTATGGAAACTGAGTCTTTCTCATATTCTCTATCTTCTCTATGGATTGAGAATGATACTGCTTCACTGGGGCCAGATAGAAGGTAAGAGTATGGAATTCATACCAACCCTTCTTTAGTTAGAAGTGTCTAAGTCAAAATGTTGACAGAGGGAAAAACAGTCAAAGCTGCGAATAGAGTCAAGCAAAAGAAGAAAGTCAAGCCTCATCTTTGTTATCACCTTGCTCTTACCCTGAAAGGTATTATTAGGAACTCTCACCTGAAGATACTCAGTGAGAACTGTGCTAAATGGACAGTCTAAAACCCCTCCATAATGCTCTTTTTTTGAGAGAGAGAGAGAGAGAGAGAAAATTTTTTTTAATATTTATTTTTTAGTTTTCGGCAGACACAACATCTTTGTATGTGGTGCTGAGGATCGAACCCAGGACGCACGCATGCCAGGCGAGCGTGCTACCGCTTGAGCCACATCCCCAGCCCTGCAATGCTCTTAATAGCTGTGTGACTCTAGGAATCTTATTTAACATGTCTCCGCCCCAGTTTCCTACTGTATCAAAGAGAAATTGCATCTAGCCTTTCAATCTCCCGGGTATCTTAACGGCTAAATGAGATAATATATAAAAAAATACCATTTTGATAAACATTATAAATGCACAATAATCAAACTGCATTAAACAAATAATTATCTGAATCCAGACATTAACAGAATACATTCCAGCCTTTAGGAGTTTGCAAATGAGTGAGGTATCAGCCAGCGACTCATTTTCCTAGAGAAGGCAGCTAATCTTGACTACACATATCCCGGAACTTCTGTGAGTGATTGTGCTGTAGTCCACCAACAGGGAGTTTAGTCCTTCCATCCCCAGCTTTATTAATGCACCTTTAGCACTTTGAATCCTAAAGCATCCTGAAGAAACTTTATCACCACGTTAAAATCTAATAAGAATAGCATCATTTTGTGCTATACCGTATTCATCTTTGGATGAATCCAATCACAAGAAGGCCTGCATTCAACAGTCTGAACCAGAAGGCCTCAACCCTGAGTACAGCCCCATGTCAATGGGGGACCTTCTAGATCTGCAACTAGACTGAGCATCCTCCCCAGAAACCATGAAACATGGTTCTTGGGAGTAGTTGGGCATCAGCATTCAAAAAAGTATCTGTAAGAGATGCTGCTGTCAAATGCTCAGAATAACTGATTACGACACCAATAAACTATTTGAGTTAGTTTTCAGAGAGAGATAACTTCATGAGGCAGCTCCTGTTCTTTAGTTTGCCATCATCTACCCCAAATTACCTGCTCATTAGCCTCCCAGCATACGTGGACCCCTTTCGTTCCACCCTCCACATGGTAGCTGGAGAGATCATATATCACCATGCATCTTACCCCAAACTCCTGCTTGGCACACTAAATTTAATGGCTGTCCATTGCTCTTAGAAGAAAGGTCAAAATCAGAAACTGGACCCTCAAGTCCCAAAAGGCCTCTGTCTCCTCCCCAGCCTCATTTTACGAGATGTTCTTGTCGACTCTTTCTTCTTCAGTCTCCTTCACCTGTTTCCACTGTACCATCTCCCCTTGCCACAGAGCCTTCCACATAGGTTTCTCTCTTTCTCATCGCCTCCCTCACCTCCCACTCTCTCACTCAGTGTCTTCATTTGGTTACTTTATTTTCTTCCTTTAGGTTTTCTCAGCTCAGTTATCATTTTCTCTGGGAAGACTTCCTTGAAGTTCCCAGTCCATGAGCCTCCCGGCTCTCCTTACTGTATGAGCTCACCACGCCCCGGGACACTCCTCCACGCCTTTTTGTTATTGGTGTGATTATTTAAAATACATTTATCTCACTAATGATGTGGAAGCTCGTGAAATCCCAGGCCATGTTTGTGTTGTGAATTTGGTTAATATTTACCTCCCTGCAAAATGTGTGAGTGTTTAGGTGACATATATGTATATTAAGGTTAGATATATGTCTATCTAGACATATGTGCATACATATAGATAGGTAAATGGATCTTCTAAAAACCTGATTCTGCTGTGGTCTTGGATGGTAATATTTAAAACATTTTCCATTAGAGATGCTTATCGCTGCATTCATGTAAACATTGAGTAACTCCCTTCTTTCACCAACTGTATGTACAGAGAACTTTATCATGAATCACGATGTCAGAATGTTATCAAGCCAGAGGGCCACATGAAATCCAGACAGATAGAACTTGGAGGGGTTTTATGTAACTGACAAGAGGTCTAAGTCAAGGCCAACTAGAGAGAAACAGTGAATACCAAGCAGGAAATTCACAGCAATGTAGACTGAAATGATGTTGGCTGACATTTTACTCTTGCCCGTTCTGTGGGTGGCTTCTCTCTCCTTCACTCTCTGTTTGTCTCTCTCTCAGGGGAGAATGAAGCAGAGTTGGCTGTAGGTGGGAATCTCCCCTCCATCCTGTTGTAAGCGATGGCCCCTGTCTGGTGCCTTCTTTGTCCCCACCAAGCCTATCTCTCTCCCTCTCCCACTCCACTGCTTGTCACATGCCCTGGAGAACCCCGTCTACCCCTGATATTTACCCCAGACCCTCGTTTCAAAAAGTGGTCTTTTCCCCAGGCACACACCTAGGGTTGGCTTCCCAACCACTCTGTCAAAAACCCAGAAGACCTGGAAATGGAAACTCACCAGAAACACAAAGACAGATTCATCAGTCCACTCTGGTTGCCCAAGTGAAGGACAAGTTAGCAAGAAGAGTTGACATTTATATTTATTAGTGAAGGGAATTCAAGTAATTGCACAATGCCTGAGCTTGTGGATGTTTGCTTTATAGTCTTGAGTCGGGTTTCTTTTTCCACCCCAGGGGAGGACTTTGGCCTGTGTGTTTCCTGAGAGCTGTACTAGGTTCTCAATGAGCGTTAGCTGCTGTGTGCCCCTCGACAGTGCTCGGGTAGGCATAGATCAGAGGAGTAGGTCACACAGATTCATAAGATTTGAACTGCTTTTCCTTTGGCTGTGAAATAATCCTTTAACCATCAGCTTTTAAATTTGGCCTTTTCAAAAAATATGATACCATATAAACCTTACTTAATCAAAAAGACATTTCTAGTTTAAAGGTATTTTTTTCTTTTTCTTTTTTATCTGAAAATGGGAAAGACTATCAAAAAGAATGAAACATAGTTTGATAAAGATGGACTGTGTGAAAGAAGTTTTTAGTTTTTGTTGTTTTGCCAATTTGGTCTAAGCAACTTTGCTTCTTGAGAAACTAAAGAGGTCTGAGGTTTTGGAATAGAGACTTTACCTTCTGTCTGCTCATGGGAAATTTAGAGTCATATAATCCCAGTCCAGCTTTGCAGAAGTATTGTAGGTCTTTTAGAGCTGTGTTGTTTTTATAGTCATTTATTTTTGTGTAACATTTTATGGATTACTAATTATCCACATATTTTTAAGAATCTTTTGAGTTAAGATGGTATGATAGTATTGTGTCCCTTTCAGAGATTTGGTAACTGAGACCAAAGCAGGCTGAATGATAGACATGTATGAAGTCATCTAGCTTGTTAATAACACAGTGGGATTCAAGCCTCGGGGCTTCAATGCTTTACTCACAGTGGTATGTTGAAATAGATGAACCAAAATCCAGAGGACCAGGTCAGAATCCTGGTCCACCAGTTACTAGCTGTGTTAATCTGAGTGAACGATGAAACCTTTGTAGACTTCAGATTCTTCATCTGTAAAGGCATTTGAACTGTCCCTGTTCTTTTGTTCAGACTCAGATTCTGAGAAGACTAAAATGAGACCATTTTATTAATACAAAATACTGAATTTTAAGAGAATTCAGTGTCCTATCTGATGTCAGGCTAAGTGTCTTCTACCCTTCCTCTAACATGGTTAGGGAACCAGAAACAAAGAGAATGACTCAGGAGACGAAGGAGGTACCTGGTGACCACAACAGGTAGGCTGAATTTTTGAAGCCACCTGGGTGCAACTTTTATTGATGTGGATGATAAGACTGTTAAGAAACCTTTTTGAGTAATTGAATATCAAATTGAACCTGATAATCAAACACTGTTAATTTCCAAAGCCTTGAAATTTCTGGTAGTTGGTTCCCTTCAGGTTTGGAGAGTATCCATCTTAGCAAATTCCTGTCTGCCAGGGAGTGTCAGAGGGATTCTATCAAAACAGACAGATGCTCCCAGCTGTTGGAGGAGTCAGGACCAAAACAAGCCCCAGGCCCCTAGAAAGTGCAGCCAAGATCTGACTCCCTTCCTGCTGACTCTGGGCTCTTTTACAGGGTGATGTCCAGCGGACACTCATCCAAGTGGACTTTGGTGATGGCATTGCAGTGTCTTACGTCAATCTCAGCTCCATGGAAGATGGGATCAAACACGTCTATCAGAACGTGGGCATTTTCCGAGTGACCGTGCAGGTGGACAACAGTCTGGGGTCTGACAGCGCCGTCCTGTACTTACATGTAACTTGTATGTTATTACTGTTGTTGGCTTATGACATAGCTTAAATTTGTGTCCTTTTAAAATGTGATCCCGCATTTCTTATCCAGAAGAAACACAGGAGTTACATTTTAGCAGAAGTGGGGAAGGAAATGAGTCAGAGGGCAAAGTAGAGATAAAGTAAAAAGAAAATCCACGAGGGGAATCTGAGCCATCTTGGAATCTGAATTGCTTGAAATTGTAACTGCAGTGAGATTATTTCTTCCAGGTACCCCAGAGATATAGCACCTGCATGTGGGCCTGAACCTGGGCAATTTTCAGAACGTCTCAGTTGAAACTTGGCATGAGTGGCCCCCCACCACCAGCTCTTTGGTTACAAATGGTCAGAAACAATAGAAATGCACAGTTCAATCAAACTAGCACAGGCAAAGGAATTGCTCCCCTAGCCACTTATTTCTGTTTTCCAAGTTATGTCTTGCTAAAAATCATCCTTTTAACATTTTCACTTCTTTTTTTTTCTTTTTCATGTGATTTCTGGGCTACTGTCTAAGGATGGTTTGGTATTCCAGAGAAGGTGATATGGAGGGAAAGAGTGTTAAGAAAGCTACCCTAGGAAAGAGTTCCAAGACATGCTGTAGCTTTTCCCCATTGAGGAATCAGAAGCCTGGCTGGATGTAATGAGATAACAACTAAATTATGTTGGGTATATTGTGTGTCATAAATATCGAATGCATGAAGTTGTCCCCCATAGTCCTCAGACTCATTTTGGTTCTTAGAAAAATAGTTTACATTAAAGTAATTTCTTTATATATATTAAGACTTAGTTCAAATTTCAAGTCCCCAGAGAAAGAGTATTAAGGCCTGACAATACTCTATACCTCTCCCCTGCACCTTGCCCAGGGAGCAAAATCAAGTAATGAAAGTAACATCTAGGTCTCTGTCTTTAATAATAATATAAAAACTGTGTGAAAGGACAGGACTATTTAGGGATGCCCAAGAAACAGTGTGGTTGCTGAAGAGTCCAAATATATTACTTCTTCTCCATCTTTGCCTATTGTACACTCATGGCTGGGGTTCTCTGAGGAAGCACACGCTCCCTTATTTGGGTCTAAACAGAGTTAGGCATGGTTCCCACTTTGCTAACTGTCTCCCCCACTTTGGCTACACTTTATTAAGCTCTTCCTCTGTATGCCAGGTAGGCTTTGCACTATAAGCTCTTTATGTGTATTATCACACTTCTCAAAACAATCCTATGAAGTAGAAGCAGTGAGAAACCCTGCTTTGCAAAGGACCACAGAGCTAAAAGTGAAGTGTTTGAGGTAGCTGATGTACTACCTAACAGAGCCAGGCCCCAGACTCAGGCCTGCCAGTCTCAGGAATTCTAGTTCTCGATCACTATAGTTAGGGTCAGTGTGAGGGGTGGCTTGGGGCTGCAGGAACTATCTCCATCAGTAGATTCTCTCCCTCCCTACCTTGGCAGACATCCTGAAGAAACATGAGTATTTAGGTTAGAAGTAGCTTCCTTGCTACACAGCTATGCAGGTTTAAGATGCATTGCACAGGTTCCCCTCCATCTTATATAGCCCAAGACACAATACCCCCTGTCCATCAGTGTTGAGGGCAATAAGAGGGATGATCATGAGAATAATCTAAAAATCTCAGAAGGTACACCACAAACGTATGTTAATTATTGGTAACCAAAAAATGACTTGTGACACAAATGACAGTCCATTTGCTGAGATGGTGGCCTTTCTAGTAGCTTTTCATTTCCTACAACTTGTTCTGTGAGTGGGGATTTCTACTAGACAGCTACCCTCCTTGGGAAATGGAGCTGCAGTCCACTTCTCATGTATTTATTATGCATTCACCTCACTCCAGTCATGTACAACTCTGGACCTAGAAATCAGGAGTGGCTCTGATCTCAGCATCTCAGGGCCTCCCATTGAGTCCTCCCTGGCTCAACCTCCCTGACCCCCTGTGCACTTTTTCTCATTTCTATACATGATCAGATCCCTTGAGGGATCTACTGCTTCCCCTAAGGACCCTCCCCAATTTCCTAAATCCAGGGAAGGAAAACAATAGATAGATGACCTCTGCTCAAGATTAAGGCCTGCCAAAGCCCAAGGCTTCTAAAAGAAATGAGTTTCTTTGTTCTTCTACATTGTTTTTTCATTCCATCAACCTGGTTGATCAGGTAAAATAGCAGGAGATGATTTGTGATTGAATGTTTGTATTCTGACTTTAATCTTTCAGACTCCTCTTGGGTGACGTGGTTGGGTAAGCCCACCTCCTCTTATTAATGGAACCCCTTTCTGAGCCTGGCCTTGGGGACGAGAATTTACTCTTATATATAGATTGTGTTAAAGCAGGATCACATTTAAAGCTGTTGGTAGCTCACATTCCCATAATGCCCATACCTCAGCAGGGTCCACAGGTTCTGACACGTTAGCTCAGCACCTCTTCTAAAGGGTCTGGGGTGCTTTACTATGCCCTTAAACTCATTTTGTCTGTCTTCACATCTGTACCGTAATAAATGACTTAGGCCCCTTCTTTCAGGTAGAGAAAAACAAAGATTTGGAGAAGCCCTCTGATTTTGGCACTGTTTTACAATGAAAGGAAGTCACAATAAGAACAGCACTGAGTCACACTCCCAAACTTCTAATGCCTGGGAGGTGTAGTAAGTGATGTTTTAGTGCCTCAGTGCAGGTGGGGGACAGAGTTGGCTTTGTGAGATAAAAGTTTTTAAAAGTACTAGACAGAGTTTGACATGCTGTTTAAGTCCAAATGCTAGTCATATTACTCTGTCTCACTGAACCTAGGTTTTTATTATCTATCAAATGGAAGCACATCTTGTTCTCAAAAGATCTATCAAGCAGTACCCTGTCAACTAACAACATTTGGTTTTCCATCTGAGCTACAGAACTAGCCACAAAGCTTGCTAACCTCCTCTCTGCCTCTGACTCACTGACTCCCCCATCGGTCAACTCCAGAAAACCCATTTCTTGTCTTACATACACATTCTCTCCACTCTCCAGTGCAGAGAGGTGATTTTATTCCAAATCAGAGGTTTTTCAATATGGGTTTGCAAAGGTCATCAGAAACAAATGGAGCCCATGTTCCTGCTTTAATGCGTGCAGGAATGGGCCAGCCGCTCTCATGGAGCGCCTGGGTAATTTGTTGAAGGCTGACAGTTGGAAATTCCTTGGGGATAGTATTCACTGTGCTCTGCTGTTTTGCAAACTAATGAGACACGTGCTGCAGCCAGCATTGCCTTCAGCTGGATGGGGCAGAGAATTTAGAGGGCATGCAGATTTTTGCTCAGAAAGCTGCCCTATCACAACCATCTTGCAGGAAAAAAAAAATTGAAGACTCTGAAAACTTGCAGGATGGGAGGTGAAAGAAGATGAGGTGGATGTTCCTCAAACCATTTCCTTAACTGCTCCCTTACATAGGAGCAATTTGCAGATATCTCTCTGGCCCCACCTTAGGGTAAAGTTATCCATATGGCTTGAAAAAAAACATGTGGCTTTGCAACTATTCATGCCATCATTATATTGATCGGGAAATCAGAACAGGTCTTTTTTTTTTTTTTTTAAATGTGGTTGAATGAGGCACCTGCTCAGAATTAAATAGTAATTTATTCTATCCCTAACCTACTAAATTAAGATAATAGGAAATGTAGTATCATAGTGTGCTTTGAACACATTAGTATGCTTCTTATATATGCTGAAGTTTGAGAAAGTCTGATTTAGGAATATCTTCCTTATAGTTCAAATCCCCTTTACTTCTTCTAGTGTCTTTTTAAAAATCATTTCAGATAAATAAGAATATGACATATTTGCAAAATTTAATTAAATATTCAGAAGTCTTCAGGACATAAATGCTAGAGGGAGATCACAGCAGTCAGTGTGCGTGTACACACACACACACACACAAAACACACACAAAAAAAATGTTGAGTCTCACAGACATCAGCTGTTTCCTGCAGCATGGAAGGGCAATACAAGAAAATGATAGGGAAACCCAATTCACCCAAGTAATTCCTAATTCTCTCAACCATCTTGCCAGGAATATTCATATGGAGTGATGCAGCGCCACCTGCTGTCCCTTTTGTGCATCGCAGGCACCTGTATGCTAGAGCAGCATCTACCAATTTGTTTAGCTCTTTGAGCGGAACCATCAACTGGGGACTTCCATGGGGTGGAATTTTACTCTGTGGCTCCTTTAGGGAAGACTTCAACCTCTGTTCAGAACAGAGATGCTTAATGGTTAGGGTTCTGGACAGCAAAACCCAGGTATTTTATGCCCATGAAAAGTAGGTAAAGGCAAGAGGCCAGGCAAATCTGAAAAATGTCACACTTTTATGGAGGTATAATGTATATACATGCAAGTATAAACTTATACAAGCCCATCTATATGTACTTCAGAGCCTACAAGGCCAATGTGCTGTGTGTCCTTGAACCCTGATGGACCTGCTCAGCTACACATTTTCCTCCATCTTTCCACTTAGCTGTTCTTGCGTCCTTGCTGGTCGGCTGACATGGAAAGCACATCTTCTCCTCAAGGTCTTTATACTGGAGCATCACAAACAGACACTTGGTATAATCTTTCACTCTATCCAGGCCACTGTTCAAACGTCATTTCTTCTGAGAAGGCTTCTTTAACCACTCCATCAAAATTAGCCCTGCTTTATGTTTTCAATGACTTTTTCCCTTAAAATTACCTAAGCTTATTAAGTGCTAAATATCTCTGGGACCGAAGATAATACTCAGTACCTAAAAGTACTGTTTAGTTAGTTTTTTCATCACTGTGACCAAAGGACCTGGCAAGTACAGTGTTGAGGAGAGGAAGTTTATTTGGGGCTCATAGTTTCCGAGGTCTCAGTCCATAGACGGCTGACAGCTCTGGCCCAAGATGAGGCAGAACATCATGACAGAGGAAAGTAGTTCAGGATCTGGCAACAAGGACGCGAGAGATATTGATTCCCCAAGGACAAAATATAAACCCCACAGGCTCACCCCAGTGATCTACCTCCTCGAAGCATACCCTACCTGCTCAGAGTTACCGTCCAGTTAATCCATATCAGTGGATTAATTCACTGATCAGATTGCATCTCCCAATTCTACCATTCCACATCTGAACAATTCTTGTATTGTCTCAGACATCAGCTTTGGGGGGATACCCCATATCAAACCATGACAAGTGCTTAAGAACTATTGATTGAATGAGTGACCATGACTCACTAACAAGGTGTCCTATTTGTCATTGACACAATGACAGGGAGAGCATCACAGAGGAGGTGATGCTGGAACCGAAACCTGAAGGCTGACAGGGCCGTGAGAAAGGTGTATAAGCACAGGCCCTGCAGAGGGCAAAGGTGTGCCTGCCGGGGGGAAAAGTGTGAGTGGCAATGGCAAGATCTGCACAATCAATGACGGCAAGAACAAGGGGCATGTTCCAAAGCCTGGAGCACACTGGCACAGAGCCCTTCCTGTGTGCCTCTTTCCTGGGCAAGCCTAACTCAGCCCCAAATATGGTGTGTTCCATGCTTACCAGGCAGATTCCCACTCACATGCTCACACACACAGGCACACCTACACACACCTTTGAAATGCAAAAATAATAAAGAAAAATTACTTGTGGAATGATTTGGGGATTTGCCTACTTCTCACCCCAATATGATTCTCGGCAGGTCCCCATGATTCTGGTTTATCACCAAGGCTATAATCTCTTGGAAAGACCTTGCATCTCCCTGTGCAATCTTGTGTGTTCATTTAAGGACTTCATAAACTACTTGTAAATTTTTTTAACTTTCACACATCTGTAACTCAGGTTATAGACCTGGAAGTAAGATCTGTAAATACAAATGACATTGTTTGCAATATATTTCTGTTCTCCAAAGTGGTGAGAGCACCGGGCACTGCCCTTAGGGAAGGTGGCTGTGATGTTTGCGAGGCTTCTGAGTAAATATGCATTCTCTCAGAGTAGGGAAGGCAGAGCAGCAGAAGCTCTTCCCTCTCCATGGCCCCTCTTTGTCTTGTGTCTTAGGTCCCTTGGAGCATGTGCACCTATCTCTTCCCTTTGTCACCACAAAGAACAAGGAGGTCAATGCAACTGCGGTGCTGTGGCCCAGCCAAGTGGGCACCCTCACTTATGTGTGGTGGTATGGAAACAACACGGAGGTGAGTCTGCCGTCTGTACAGGGCTAGTGACTGAGGCTCGGCTTATGCTGGCGGAAGCCAAACAGAAGGGAATATGGCTTATGAATGCAAGAGTTCAGGGGGAGCCCTAGCTTCAGGGCCAGCAGGCGGTCTGTGTTAAGTATCTCATTACAAAGAGGCAACCCATATCCATTACAACCCCCTCCCTACTGCCGCATAAATGCATGTACACACACACACACACACACACACACACAATGACCTCACATCCTAAATCAGACACGTCCTTTCTTTAGGTCAGCTTCATCTTTTATGTTTTCCGTAAATATCCAAAAGTCAGCAATAATTTTAAAACCAGTAGAGACCTTAACCTTCACTTACTCTTAGCCCGCCCTTTTGCAGATGAGAAGAGTGAGGCCGCTACAGCAGAAGTAGCTTCCTCCAATCTCTTCTAGGTGCTTCATAGAGAGGCAAAATCCCAGGCCTTCTGCTCCCTTTATTCATTTTTCTTTCCTGCCCTCCAGGCTGCATGGTCTTTGTCAGTTTTGAACTCATTCCTCTCTCAGAAGATTAAATGCTTCCAAATGTCAGTAAGGTAGTGGGATTAAGGCCCAAATCATCCCTTCCCAATAGGGCACTCAGATGAACCTCCCTGGACAGGGACGCTCTATCATCTTCCAAGAGTTACATTCACTCCGTGGCTTTGCTCTTCCAATGCTATACACCTCATTTTAGTAAAAACGTGATTTTCTTTGAGACCTGAATTTTGGCTTTAACTGGAGACGTAGCTGTGCACATGCAGGGAGGAGAGCTCTCTTGCACCTAGACCTGCTGCAAGCCTGATAGGGAAAGAAGCTCTCGCCCCCACTACTGACACAACAGAGTACAAAAGAAGCTCCTCGATTTCCTCTGAAGCCATGCATGCAAATGTAGCCCATTGGGCCCACTGTCCACAGTGGGAAAGGAGAAATCAATGCTATTTGCCCGAAAGCTGGTATAGACTGTGAAAGCACTGAACAACTTTCTTCTCTGCCTCCTATTGTTGTTTCTTTCTTAATTTTAATATAAAACAAAATTCTCAACCAACCCTATTAAAAATAATTCTTATGCTGGACTTTAGTCTGCCCTCCACCATACAGGGAATTAAATGAATTTTGATTTTAGAACTAATTAAAATGGGAAAGAAATATTTGTGAGTAGTGAGTCATGGGAGGTCAGCAGATTAATAATTTTTTCTTCTAGAAACTTGGCATCTGCTTATGTTACAGGTAGCACTCCTCCAATACTTTTTTTTTTTTCTTTTTTGAGTCCTGAAACCACAATCCCATAACTACTTATTTTCACGGAAACTACTTCCAGGAAACTGTTGATGGCACTTCTCACAGGAAGCAGCCACACCTCCCACCCCTACCTATTGTCCAGTTTAAGTGTCCAAGGTTGCTGTGTTCCATTGGAATTTAATATTAATAGTAGACCCTAGAGATGAATGTTTGGCAACATATAGATTTTCTGTGGCTGCTATTAAGTTTGGATTAATAAGAGATCCCCTTTCTTGTTTGATTTGAAAGTGTCCTTGGATTAAAAGACGTGCTTGATCAAAATAGATTGTGAAAAAAGAGAGACATGTATCCCATCAACAAGAAAGACCTGTTGATTTTCCAGTCCAGAGTCAGGATGATACCAGGAGAGAGGTGTCCAATCCCCCCAAAATGGATAGAATCACCTGGGGCCATTGTTGCAATAGACAGCCTCCCCTCTGGCCTGCATTTCAGGTGATGGGGATGCATAGAAAGTTCCATGCTAGTGTACCAGGAAGAGCCCCTGCAGAGTTATGGGACCAGCTGGTTCACTGCTGTTTCAACTTTAACTTTAGCAGCTTTCTGCTTGCTCTGTTTCCCATTTATTATAGCCCTTGATCACCTTGGAGGGAAGCATATCATTCAAATTTACTTCAGAAGGAATGAACACCATCACAGTGCAGGTCTCCGCTGGAAATGCCATCCTGCAGGACACAAAGACCATTGCAGTGTACGGTGAGTGCCTGTCTTTGCTGATCTGTCCCTGCCCCCATGCTCAGATGAGGATGTATGGTACCATAGCACTGGGAGTCCTTCTGACTTAGACTTTCACCTAGACAGTTGAGAAAGAGCTGAGATGATTCTGGTCTCCTCCTTTAGGGAAATTTGATTCACCAACAAAACTGTGGCCACAGGACCCAGAAGGAGTTTGTTCTGTGTTTGTTTCTTTTTTTCTTTCTTTCTTTTTTTTTTAAGAGGAGAGAGAGAGAGAGTTTATTTTTTAAGTTTTCGGTGGACACAACATCTTTATTTTATTTTTATATGGTGCTGAGGACAGAACCCAGTGCCCTGTGCATGCCAGGTGAGCACCTTACTGCTTGAGCCACATCTCCAGCCCTGTTCTGTGTCCTTGAAGTTGGTCTGAAGCACTTAGACTGTTGGCTCACTCACCTCAGGTGGAGCAGGCTGGGTTTCATTATGAATAAAGCCGGTTCATTTCACTTGAGATGCTGGAAGCATTTGAATAGCTAAAACCAGTTCTAAAAGAAAAGAGCTAATGCTGCGGCATTTTTTGAAAGTTCAACTTTAAGAGAAATCTTCCATTATCAAATTACTTTTAAAAATCTCTTTCAAAAGTCAGCATTTAAAAAAAATACAAAAAAACCGAACAAACAAAAAACCCTCTACTCGACTAAAAGCAAAGCAAAGGAAGGGTCATAATAAGTGGATATCACTCTTAGCAGTAGACTGGCTATTGAACAATCTGATGTACAGGACAATTTTGTGATCAAGGTGGGAAATTGAATGTGGTCAAAGCATCAGAAAATGCTGAAATGGAAAAGTGTGATCATTGCTTGGAAATGGGATATAAAAACAATACATCCAGATTGATACCATTTTGGTAAGTTTTTTTTTTTTTTTTCCTGCATAGAAAGCTATTCAGGTGGATATGAACCAGGTGTTTTCAGTAGAGGGTAAAAAGGCAAACATTTAATATTAATATGGAAGGGGTTCATATGCATCACAGATTAGTTGGAAAAGAGGATTTAAATTTAGGTTAGGAAAGTATATGCTGTGCCAAAAGAGAACAAGAAAGAAAGAAAGGCCGAGAAAGGGCAGCAGGACCCCAGTTCTGTAAATTAATTGATGCTGATGAGATAATTTGGGACTTCTTTCTGTGGAGAGTCAGGTTTTGTTTTTCAGTTCTCATCTTGCCAGTTTGATGTTAAAAACCTGAAAATCATTTGTAGGCCACTTTAAGCATGTCTGAGGACCCAAGGGCCAAGGACACTATTCCATGCATGGCCGGCCGGGAATTAGATTTCATGATTTTTCTTCTCTCCCTTCCTCCTGAAGAGACTTCATCAGTCCAGATAGTAGCAGGAAGTAAACAAGGGCTGAGAGTTTCCTAACTAGGCCCCATCAGTGAGTCCAGCCTCTCTGCCAGGTGGCCATTGAGTGGCTGTGTGCAGTGGGGAGAACTTTTGCTTCTCATTCCTCCCCCACCTCTTTTTTTGGTCCCGGGGAATACATTTAATCTTCGTATCAAGCCTACTACAACGCAGGTGATATTATTAGTCATTTTCTCCTGGAGGTAAATAACTTGCCCCAGTTAGTAAGAGGTAGAGTTGGACTTCCAACCCAGACCACCTAGTCCCAGGGCCCATGGTCTGAAATCACCCTGATTGACTGACTTTGGTTTCTTTTCCATCAGATGCTCTTTTTCCTCTCTCTGCCCCTTCTGGATGTCACAGGCTGCACTAATGGTACTCAGCCATTAGCCTGACTGATGTCCTCTTGGTTAAGTGTATGGGCAGCCTCCTCATTAGAATCACAAAGAAAACCTTAAATCTGGAGGGGTTTTGGCCTTTTCTTATCAGGTGTCATTTTACAGATAGGAACTTGAGATCCAAATATGGATAACTACTGGTTTAAAGTCATTTCTGCTATTTAATGACAGATCGATCCAGCAAGGTCATGGTGAAGGTGATAATAACTAACATTGATGAAGCACTTACTCACCACCACCTGTATCTGTTCTAAGCACTTGATGTATATGATCTGTTTTATTGAATCCTTTGAATAGACAAGAAAAAATCTGTAATTATCTCTGTTTTACAAATAAGCAAACATGAGATAAGTGTAATCAATAAACAGCCTAAGAATTCTGAACCCAGAGGACAAGTTTCTGTGCACCTTCTACCCCACTGCTGTTCCTTCTTCCTCTTTCTGCAGTTTCCCTAAAGGAATCATCCGAGGGTGACTCACTTTACATAAAATGCATTCTCTCTCTCTTCATTAAAGATTTCAGCAGAGGAAGTGGTCTCCCCCTCCTTTAAACCAAATTCCGGAGCCACCAACCATCCTTAACTCATCTTCAATCCAATGAGTTATCCAAGGTGTCTACACATGATTTGGAATTTTTAGTGACAAGTGTGACTTATTAAGGAAGAATCACACCAGACAGAATTAAACAGGCAGGATTGAACTCCACTGAAACAAAAGGCAGAAGATCCCAACATGCTGGGATTAGCTAATAGGAAAGTACTGGAGGATATTGAGGAGTACATGTAGTTATCAGTGTGATTAGTCCTCTGCTTGAATGAATGACCCTTTGTGGGAAGTTAGTTTCCCATCCTCCCTCATAGACAAGGAGACAGGGAAACCTTTATTTCTTGATGATAATGAACCCTTTCCTGAGTTGTAGCAGATTAGAATCTTTAGCACCTCAGTGGGGCAGAGAAAGAAATTACAGCTGCAAGTTATTTAGAGTAAGTGCTCAAGAAAAGGGAGGTCAGGGGCCTCCTGTTAGACACCTGTCTAAAGCTTAGTCAAAGGGAAGAGGATACCATTATGGTCAGAGGAAGAAGGCATTCCACAGAGAAGTGGATGGAGGGGCTGGAGGTGCAGCCCAGTAGCAGATGCTTGGCCAACATGTATAGCATACAGGAGGCCCTGGGTTCAATCCCCAACACCACACATACACAATAAAACAAAATTTGGCTACCCGGAGCAACCCCCAATAGAATGAAAGAAAGAAAATCTAGTTTGCATTATTTCCATTAATTTGCTCCAGGGTATGGGTTTGCCTTTAAATAAAAAATGCAAATGCTCTTTCAGCACCTGCAAAAGAGCTATATTTCTGGTGTTTGCCTGAAGTCCTCCCACAGGCAGCCCCTGTTTATTGAATAAATTCAGCCACACCATCACCACTTCCCAGCTGTCATCATGGAGACAGCTGTATCATCCATGTCCTTTCACTAAGGTGAACACTGTCCCCTGTAGATAACTCTCTAGAGCTTGGTGAGAGGTGCAGAGAAAGTTAGAGTGACATAAATTTATACCATCAGAGCTGCAAAGTTACAACTCAGTGGGTGCATCCTCAGTGCCACGGTTTACCACACTGCTAATTAACATGCATTTCGTTATTCTCCATCAGAACTGAATCAGTGATATACGCCTAGGTGACCAGTGACTCATAAAATAGTCAAGCTTTGAAAAATATGTCTTTGGAATCAGGTTACTGCCATAAATTCACATCTTATAATGTAAGCATCTTCAAAGCATGTGTTTGATAACCCATCAGCAACATTAGGAAGTGCACGAGGGGGATTTTATGTTTCCTGAATTTATAATTGATACCAGTGACATCGCTTAGCCCCAACTGAAACCCAAGGACATGCTTAAAATAAGGACTGTGTACTGAAGAAGTAAACATAGAAATAACAGAGAGCCTTTGCTATAATTTAATCATTTATTTATTCAATAAACATTTACTAATTAAATGTCCCAGAGATAATAATTGAAAGCCTACTATGTTCTAGCACTCTCTCACAGCCAGGAACATAGTCCCTGTTCTCAATCATTTTACATTCCAGTTAGGGAGACATGTAGTGAAGACAAATTAAATAATATTAGGTATAAAGAAGACAAACAGGATCAGAGATGGAGGGACTTGAGTCTGGTGAACAGGAGGCTGCCTGAGGTCAGTTGGTCAGAAAGTCTGCTAGCAGACTGAACAATGAGAAGAGCTACATGCTGTCATGTGGAGAGGCAGAGGTGAGCTGGGGTAGGAGAGTAAGTCTACACCAGGGTGTGGGGGAACAGGAAGGCTTGGTAAGAATCTAAACTTCACTGTGGAGTCACTCACAGGTTGTAGGGGAGAGCTTACCTGGGTGTGCCCTTTGGCAAACTCTGTCCTGTGTTAAGGTATAGAAGCCATAAAAATGCACCCTAGAAACTTCCAACTCTGGGAAGCAAAACTGACAAGCCCTGGATGCTGTGCTCCGGAATTCCTCGCTGTCGTGGGCCTGGGTGCTGCTTCTAGGGCTGGGTCCCAGCTAGTGATGAGTGTCTCCGGGGTACCGAGGCTGGCCCATTCCTGGGACGCAGGGGACTCCTTTGCAGGTCAGCTTTGGTTCAACATCTCCCAGCCATCTTGCTGAGCCTTCTGCATGCGGCAGGGCAGTCACCAGCCCTCTTCCTCTCTCTCACAGCCCTGCAGGCCTGTGAGCTGATGGCTCTCCATGCCTCCCCTGGGTCCTTCCTCGATTTCTCCCAAAGATGATTCTGTTCATAAAATCTTTGCTTGTTTAATCCCCAACCCATTTCCTGGAGGATGCAGATGAACCCAGGCCTAATTCAGGGGTGACACAAAAAACAAACACAGTCCTCAACATAAGGAGCTTAAAATTCCTTTCAATGAAACTTCTTTGCAGACAAAAGATAAAGTAACCATAATAAATAAAAGTATGTAATTATATAACTATTGTTATACAATCATATGATAAAAGTATGTGAAAAACACAGTAGTTTCATTAAAAAATTAAAATGTTTGAGGTTTGGTAGAAAGGTCAGTCGGGAAAGCTTAAACTAGAGCTTGAAAGCTTTGTGGAAAGACAGTGGGGTGAATGGGCATTCCAGGTAGAGGAAGAGGACAGGCAAAGGCCCTGGGGTCATAAGCATATCATGTGTTCAGAGCCCCAAGGTCAGTTAGTATCCAGGAAGGCAAAGTATGGAACCAGGGATAATAGTCAACGTCTATAGAGCTAGGCGTGGGCCAGAGTCCTAGAATTTGGTTTATAAAGTCAGGAACTAATGAGATACCAGGGACAGGAATAGTAAATTTGCTTTCTAGAAGGATCTCTCTGGTGAGTGTGAAAGGAGAGGACCCTCCATGAGGGCTTTGCATCAAATACAAAGTTTATGCTGCTTGACTAAAGTACCTGACTTCCAGTAATCCACCTGCTGTTGTATCCCCAGAGGAATTCCGCTCTCTTCGCTTGTCCTTTTCTCCAAACCTGGATGACTACAACCCGGACATTCCTGAGTGGAGGAGGGACATCAGCAGAGTCATCAAAAAGTCCCTGGTGGAAGTGAGTGCCAAGAGTTCTTCTCTCATTTGGGCACATTTTCTCTCTGTCCTTGGAGAACTTTATGGAAGAACATCTAAGAAGGGACAGGAAAGAGATGGAGCCACAGGAAGCTAGTTCCAAGGTGTGGTGTCATCGGTGAGCCCTCACATGCAGGCCTGTGGCAGGCACCAGGGTAAAGAGCAACCGTGAGAGTCACGAGGTGCTTGTCCCTCACAAAGTTGATTCTGCTTAGACAGAGTTCACGATGGATGAGGCCTTTAGTGTAAGATGAGCCACTGTGCATAATAATGGAGGGGCATACGCCCCGAGTGTCCTTGTGGGCAAGTGTAATTACTAAGAGCAGCCTGGGTGCCAGCCCCACCACTATGTGCGGTGAGGACTCATACCTGATGGTGGGTCACATGTCCTGCTTCTCTTAAAGACATTTCCCTCCTGTACCAGTACCAAGAGGAAGCTATTACTATTTTCTTTTCATAGATGAGGCAACTGAGGTTCAGAGAAGTTAGAAGACTTTCATAAACTCTCACAGCCAATAGGTGACAAAGCTTCAGAACTGAAATGAAGGGCCTGAGTCCAGTGTCTAGGGTTTTGTAATGCAACATGATCTCCTGAGGTTTCTAGGAGCATCCAAGAGGGTACACTTTATCCCTCCCTGAGCAGATGTTCCTGATTAGGGGGTAAGACACCCTTTGTGGGAGTACCATCTTCCCCGACCTACTCCACTTGCAGGAGTGAGCACAGTGGGATAGCAGCTCTGGGGCTGCTTGGACTAGGTGCACAAACCCAGGACGTTAGGCACGAGCTGTCTTTTTCCTGAGGTTCTGAACCCACACAGAAATCCAGTTTAAGTTTCTGTATATCCTGCTCCCAACACGTTTCCACTGATGGGAAATGGTGATGTAATAAGACATTCAGAGAACCCTGGTCAGAAAAGAGATCCCGTATCAGCCTCTCAGCATTCCAGTCCTCACACCATGACCTTTATGACATTTATTTAGCACTTAAAATATCCTAGACCCTCCCGTCAGTGCTTCATACTGTTTAATGTTAAATACCAAGGATAAGCCTATGAAGCTTGTACTCCTTTTACAGGTATAAGAGGCGTCACGGAACTTGCCCAAGGTCATGCCGCTACAAATTCAGGCTCAGACCTTCAAGGCTAGAATCTCCATTTTGTGGTTTCCTACTGTTCCACAGTACTGCTGTCTATTGTCTTCCTTCAAGGAGAATCAGGGATGGAAGCCATATTGGGGTGGAGAGGGGGGATCTTCATGTGTCTCCTGGTAATTGCAGTCCAGCTCTGTCTCCGTGGCTTCACCAGGCATGCCATTATTGAAGCTTCAACACTGTGGCTACCAGGAAGAGCAGCTACTAGACTAAGGACTTTCTGCCTTTGGAGCCATCTGTCCCTGGAGTGACAATTGGTTTCTTTCTCCTGCTATTCAAGCGAGATGACTTACAACTTTTCATGAACCCACAGCCCACCTGGTTAACTCTGCAACCTTCTAGGGACATAGGACCCCCTAGGGACCTAAGTATCCCAGGCAATAATCCAAACCCACCAGGTGATTGTGGGCACCAGCTCAGCAGTGATTAGCCTTCTGGGCTGATTTCTCTTCACATTATCTAGAGGTCAGATGCCCTGGGCCACCTCCTTCCCACCAGCTGTCCAGTAGGCCAGAAACCACACTGCTCATCAGTATTCCTAAGGCTGCTGCATATTATAATCAGCTAAACAAGAATAAATGTGTTGCTCAGCATCCTTCGAGACAGGGTGGTGGTGGTGGGGGGTGGTAATATCTTTTAGTACCCAAAACTCTCCAGTTACTCCATCCCAGTAGGCAGCTGATCCAGCCTGTGGTCCCCTGGAACCCTGTCTTTGAGATCAGCAATTACACTTGGCTACTTTCCTAAGTCTTAAGGGACACATTGCCAAGTGTGCCCTCACAATCCCTATAAAATGTACAACTTAGAGTTGGTTTATTGGCAGTTTTCTTCCTATTCATTTATGTGACAGAATTTGGTATAAAATTAGTGGTCCATTCCTCATCAAATTGGCTTTTGCTATTGACATATCGTGATGAAATCTTTAATTAAATGTCATTCAGGAAGCATTTTTGTTATAATGAGGATGATTTAATTTAATCTCTGAGTTTCCAATCTAATAGGGGCATTAAACAGCATGTGTTCAGCTGTAATGGGAGCTGGTGTGTGTGTGTGTGTGTCAGGAGAAAGGCGGCCTAGAGTTCAGGTTACCATCACAGGCTTCACCATGAAATGCAGCTTCATAAGCATCACAGCCTCTTCCTAAATGGCTTTGAGCCACTATCTAACTTGCCCTCAACACCCATCTTTCCTGGGGTGGAGATAAGGACACATCCCTAGATCCTGGTTCAGGAGAGACTTGTCTTAGCTGCTAGGAAGCTGTGGGCAGAGGCTTCAGCTGCCTTGTCCTGGATCATGTCATCTCACAGGGTAGCTCCAGTCGAGTGATGGACAGGTATGGTTATACACACAAAGTCCTGGCCATCTCAGCCCAACCTACAAAAACTCTGAAGGCCAGCCTGTCTCCCCACAGGTCCTTTGAGGCTGTCACTGGACCTACATGGCTGCTCAGTTTCTCCCGTGTCCATGCCTGCTAACCTACCCTACCCCAGAGGTGTTGTTCTCAAGCTCTTCTTACTAAGTTCCCTGAACACTAAACTCAGAGTGAGCATCCTGAGGCACCAACCTGTGATGTGATTTTTTTTACCATCCAAGTAAGGTGGAACTATACTTGCTTGCTTTATTATTTATTTATTTTGCATAAAACAATATCTATAGGTTACTTAGCAAAATTCCAGGCACACGACGAGGAATCAAATGCATAGAAAATTTGTGACTACTTCAAAAAAGGTAGCTCCAAGACAGTCACCTACTTGAGAAACTAGGGACCAATGTACTGAAATGTGTGGATTTGTAAATGACTCATGAAAGGTAAGCAGAGTTCTATCTGCAAACAGAGAGAGAAGACATCCCGAGGGAGGTGGCAGGCACACAGAGAAACACAGGTAAAACTTGATGGGATGCACATAAAGATTGAATTGGGATTTCAGTGGTGGATGTTTAAGTGAGAAGGAACCGGTAGGATCATTAGTGTGGAAGAGGACTTGTCTCATAGGATGATTGCATGTAACAGAGTCAGGAGGGTGTCATACTGGAGGTGAGTGAAAGGCTTCGGGCTAGAGAATCTGGGAAGGGCCTACTTCCTGTCACCTTAAAGATAGAATGAAAATGGAGGGGGTGGAATGGCAAGTTCTTTTTTTTTTGACACATTTGTTGGAAGTCCTAGTGAAACAGCCAAGCAGTGTGTTCTGACTGACCATGAAGAGAGAAGATGGGATTATGACTGCTGATCCTAGAACTGTGCAGAGAGAAGGATTGGGGGACACCCTGGGATATAAGCCTAAGGGAAAGCTAGAAAAAGGCAAAGAGGAAATTGAGTGATATCTCTAATTTTAAGAGAAGCGTGAGCACAGCAAGTGAAGGGCTCAGAGTGCTTCATGGAGCAGGACTGGCCATCAGCTTCTGGTACTGGACAGAAGTGAACAGGAGCCCCTGAGGGCTGTCCTACTTGGGTTGATAATTAGAATATGACGGGTGGATTTGAAGAGTATCTCCACTTGGGTGACGAAGAAAGAAGCTGGGATAGCAGGGATGATGGCCTAGGGAAGCAGATAAAGAAGTTAGTGAGGGTCCCTGTTTTCTATTTAAGGAAGTGTAGGCAGTGAGAAGATAAGTGATGGGTGAGTCTCACAATGGCGGAGCTGGGAAGAAACCTCTGTGGCTCTCTCTGGAGTCTGCACTTGTGATCCAGGGGTGCCTCTCCTGTGCCTTCGTGCCAGGAGCACCCAGGCCTCTGCCTTCATGTCCCCCACATACTTCCTTGGGTCTTCTGCCTCAGCCCACACCCCAGCTGAATACCTGGTTCCTTTTCATCATTTTCTGCAGGACTCACCCGAGCCTTTCTTTCTCAGGCCACAGGAATTCCAAGCCAGCACATCCTGGTGGCAGTACTGCCTGGTTTACCCACCACTGCCGAGCTCTTTGTCTTGCCTTACCAGGATCCAACAGGAGAAAACAAAAGGTCACTGGAGGATCTGGAGCAGGTAAGTCGCCTAGCAACCATTTTCAGCTTCTGCTTGCAGTCTGGGTCACCCCACTGCTAGTTCCACCATCACAGCCGCTCTGAGGGGTTCTGAGGAGCAGGATCTAAGAGCACCACCTCTTCTGGGGAGTCTTCAGCTTTCTGGTTCTCCATTTCTCAGTCACACACTGGTGGCCCTAACTGTAGTTTCACCAAATCAACATGTACAGGACTGAATTGCTCATACTGCAAAATACCCGACAGCATTTATGATTAGTTAGAGAAATCTATGTGCATAGGCATGAAGACATGCCCAAGACATTATGAGAAAAAAGCAAGTAGCTGATTGACACATGGACAAGAAGCCCACTTAGAAATTACTTGACTTCTTTCATTTTGAACGTCCTGGGAGTCTAATGACACCTGTTATAAAAGCTACAGCTTTGATTCAAACATTGATCCTTTTATTATCACTGTGCTAAGATGATCTGATTTGTATTCACGATTGTGTGATATCTGCTCTAGAGCTCCTCTTCTGGCTATGTGAAGGTTCACCTTCTCTTCATTTCGTTCACTTCTGGAGTCTTACTGTGTGTGTGTGTGTGTGTCCTGCCCTCTTTGGTCATTTTGTTTTTCTTATCCTTTTAACTTCAAAAGGCTCTTCTCCTTCTGTATTGAGGAAGATGTTTTTCTCCTTTATCCATTCAACTGAAATGATTAGTCTTGGTCTGTTGTTCTCATAAAAACCTAAGGATTTGGGTTTCTCAATTCTTCCAGGAACATAGATTTAAAAAGGGATTCCTCTCAACCACTAAATAAGCACTGGATTTGGCCCCTCAAGAACTTGGAGCTTTTTAATTTACTTTGAATAAACCCATAATCCAGTCCCATGATCTCTAGTCTTCCAGGTTGGCCTACAAACTACAATACCCTTACTAACCACAACCCCAAATTAAAGCTCAGCCCACCTCTGAGCATATATTCTCCTTTGAGCTGCTACTTTCTCACCCATCAGAAAAATTGCCTCTCTAATTTTCTCTGTATCTAAGTCATGAAGAACATAGCTGTCCCAGAAGTCCCGGATGAACCCATTTCCTAGCCCGATGCAATTGGAGAGCAGGCGGCAGGTAACCTGTTGGATTTGCATCTGACCTTGCCCCCTGCCATGCTCAGCTTCCCATTATATTCTACAAATTATTATCTGCACTGTAATGTAATAGGAGAAAGAATGAATTATTCCTTACCACAGAATGCTGAGAACCTGAGGGGGAAGTTAATCCTTATCCAAGTTCTTTAGATATGGACATTTGCACCTGTTCCTTTTCTGGAAATTTTAGGAGTTTTCTATGAAATCCAGATTATAGTTATTTTAAGTATGGGAGAGAGTCCAGAGATAGAGCCAGATATTTTCCCAAGCATGACATCATCTATGCATTTCTATGTTTCATACTGCCTCCCCCCTTTTTTTAGTGTAATATTTTCTCAATGATTCCTTGAGGGGAAACATGGAAAGAAGGGTCTATTTGTTAAACATGTTTATGCAGAATGTATCTTGCTTTGACTGCCGTTTTTTTTTTTTTTGTTTTGTTTTGTTTTTTTACTTCTTTCCCGCTCTTCTCTGTCTCTTCTGGGTGCTTCCTTCACAGAGGCACACAGGTTGCTGAGGGAAGGTACTCAGGCAGCCTGAATTGAAAAACCATTTTATCAGAGATCTTAAGGCAGCTGACTCATTTGAAGAAAGACTGTGCGACATAGCACCCAGCACCCATGGGGAGGGCATCAGCCGTTTGGAAGAAAGATCACAAGTTTAGAGAAATATAAACCAGGCTTCTAGTTTCAGCTCTGATATCCATGTGTCTGTTTCATAGTGGAGGAAAATAAGGATCAGAAGAGTTAAATGATATAGCCAAAGTCACAGCGATTCCATAGGGTGTTTGAGAAGATGAAATAAATAATACAGTGGGGAATTTGGTTGATAGAAGATACTCCATAAGTGGCAAGTTGATAATAGCTATATTTATGCTTATTTTATAATAGGAAGAGATGTGGAAATGCAAATTCAAAGTTAAGGCTTATTAACCAGGCACGGTGGCACATGCCTGTAATCCCAGGGGTTCGGGAGGCTGAGGCAAGAGGATCATGAGTTCAAAGCCAGCCTCAGCAACAATGAGATGCTAAGCAATTCAGTGAGACCCTGTCTCTAAATAAAATACAAAATAGGACAGAGAACATGGCTCAGTGATTGAGTGCCCCCCTGGGTTCAATCCCCAGTACCAAAAAAAAAACAAAACAGCTAAGGCTTATTAAATGGACCATATAGTCAGGGACGTATATTGTAAGAAAGTGTGGAAAGTAAGCAAGAAAAAAAAAAAATAGTGAATGGGATTGCACAAAATGGAGACAAAAACAAGGACAATACAAAAAGGCAAGAATGTATATTAATGATGTGAGCCCATGTAAATGATGCAGATTTAGAACAGAAGACTTATTTATATCATTTTAAAAGAAAATAGGATACCAAGCTAGAGATTGTAACTCTGATTAAGGAAGATGGCTGCAGTCTCTTCCAGGACTCAAACCAAAATAAACATGGTGACCACACAGAGCCCCTGAGAAATTGGTGTCTTGGTTGTGCATAATGTTATTACCCTGAGAGAAAAGTACAGTAAATCAACTTTTAAAACAACACACTTCTGGAGGCCCTGTGAAATGGGTTGTCCACTGGAAACCTGTAATTTTCAATCTAGGTGGATCTTTTGAGCCTCTGTTCTGACTTAGTCTCTTAAATAACTTCCCGGGGAAAGCAAGTGAGTTTATGAACTCACTTAATTTAGAAGTCCAGAGATTCAGTCCCGGCATGGATGAATTCAGAGCCATTCAGAAGTGTCTACAAATTGCTTCCCTCTCTCTTTCTTTCTCTGTTTTCCTTACTACCATATGTGAAGCCTGTTTTGGAATGAAGCCAGCACATAGAAAGCAAGGATGGCCACAGCCAGCACCAACTGCCATGTGGCCATTTTGTCAACTCCATCCCACAGACAGCACCAGCCATAGCCCCTGGTTTGCAGTTCTCACCAGTCCAGCCTGGGTGAAGTGGGATCTCTTAACCAATCCCTGAAGGCTTGGACAGAGTGCTTTCTGTAACTACTCCAGTGTTTTATGTGTTCTCTGCCTCATGGGATTAGGGCAGCCCTTCCTGAACCAAAAGGGCTGAGAGCAGGGCACTTGGTCCCTCACAGAAAGATGAAGGGGGAGGGAGAAGGTCCACTGGGCGGGCAAACACAACTGACTTTCAATACAATGAAATACACACAAATTAAAAAAAAAATGCACAGAAAATCCAAACAACAGAAATCAACCTCTCCCTTGAAGATTACTCTAAATCTTAGAGGAAACTTGGGAAGGGCCGACCTCATTCCCTCTCCTCATGCTTTGGCCTCTTTCTTGTAAACCTAAGTGTGCAGAAGCCCAGCAGGGAAGAACAAGGATCCTGGCCAGCAGGCCCTGAAGAATGGGAGGTAAAGACCCAGCAAAGGCCCTGCACTCTCCTCCCTGAGCTTCCTTTGGGAGCTTTCCCAGGGGAGCAGAGATGCTGGCTTGGATCGAGCTATCTTTTCTGTGAAATAAATTGAAAATTCTTCCCTGTGATAGTACTTGATGCTGTTATCAGGATCACGCGGGCTGGGTTAATCAAGCGACCTTCTTCCAGGAGGGTTCCAACCAGTCTTTCTTCAGCTCTCCAGCAACTGAGAAAAGGCTCTCTTGCCTTCAGTGGCCTCTCTAGGGGTAGTGCATCCTGCTCTGCTGAGGCCAAATGCTCAAGGACAGAACAGGCTCGGCCTTCCAAGAACCGCATTTCCCTGCTTTCCTCAAGTCCTCAGGGGTGATGAGTCTGCACCCATCTCTCCTGATGGGAGGAGGGAAGGCCCCAATGCTCAGGGAGATTTTTTTGTGATGCTGTTCTGGGGCGATGATGTTGTTTAGTGTTGTCTTTCAGAATCCTTAAAGGCTATGAGAACGTTTAAAAGGAACAAAAAAAAAAGTCCATGTAAAATGTCAATCACAATACATTTCCTTGTCTGTTTGTATTAATTTTCACATTTGACAGATGGCAGAATGCAAAATCAAAGGGAGAAAGCAGAGGCAGATATAAACATAGAATAGACTATTGGCAGCATTTTAAAAAACTAAAGATTCACTATGAAATGTAGTTAATACTTCCAGGTTGTATTCGATACCCACCTGGTCTATTTTCTTTGTTCTGAAGTTTTAATGCAAAGATTTGGATTACAAAGGTACTCTGGAAGAAGATCACTGAAATAGGAAACTATAACTAAAAATAGAGTAGGTAAGAAACGGACCTTTTGGGGGGAAGAAGTTTAAAACTGGTGATGCAGAAAGAATTATTAGTGGTTGATTTGTTTCTTCTTGTACATCATCCAGGAAACTCCTTCAGTATTTTCACCAAGCTGAATCTTCTCTGATAAGAAAGAATTGGATTGTGTGAACTGTGTTAACTCGTAGGTAGCATTTGGCTGCATTGCCTCCCTGTGATTTAATTCTGCCACTGTGTTGTGTAAGTTGGGGAAAATCTTCCTCCATTGAATATAAGAGAAAGATTCCTCAAATGCTATTTGAAGGGACCTTAAAATGTGACAGCATTAGGATTGACCAAGTGGGTCAGCTCTGAGGTCATCTCAGGCCAGGCTCCATCTCAATTATCTTGCCACAATGCTTTTTTATGTTCATTAGGGTTTGTGCTCCTCATACCAACACCATGGATAAGCGTTATATTTTGGCCAAGTTTAGCCTTATCATTGATAAATTTTCCAAACCCGTTTTTAAATCTATATCTTCACCTGATGCCACTTCTTTGTGCAACATATTCAATAAATGTGCCAATTGCTCTATTGTTCTTAAACTTCTATTTTTTCATGTTTCAATGATTGACATTTTTGTTCTGATAATCTGAGACTGCTTATCCCTAATGAATTTAATTAAAAGTGGTTTAGATTTGTGTAGTCATCATCACAGGTGTTGACTAAATGTTTCCAGCCCACTGCCTTTGTGTTGCACTGCAGGATCATACCTGTGCATCTCTTCTGACTGGGCAGAGCCACAGGTCTTATTCAGGCCAATGAGTTGGGATTGGAAGTGATACGTGTCACTTCCAGTCTGACAAGTTCAAGTGCCCATAAGCCTTGAGAACTGTTTTCTCCTCCCAAGGTATAGCAAATGGAAATGTTTAAGATGGCTGCTCCACCAGCCTGGTTCCCTGTGTGATCATTAAGAAATATCTATCTACAGTGGATACAATCCCACGTGTGAGCAAAAAGTATGCCTCTATTGTTTTAAGCCTCCGAAAAGTTACCATGTTTTCTTCAGCCCACCCTAGTTGATCTTCATCTTTTATGCACTTGATCTTCATCTTTTATAAAGAAGGCAAGAAGAAAGTTGGTATTTTTCCTCTAGAAGGTCCCTCTAGCCTTTATCCTATTTGTATTGAATTCCCACTGTCCTCTAATGTGGTGATTTAACTGAAGTGTGGGCTACATTTGAATCATGTGCATAGTCTACCTAATAAGTAGACACTGGGAATAATTTGCTGTTTCTTTGACCATGATTGTTTAGCTACAGTACAGTAGGAAGTGAACTGTGTAGGAGAGCAGCATCAGGAAGATGTCAGTACAGAGGATAAATGGATAAATGAAATTGGCTAAAAAAATATGCGTTTTTAAGGCTATGAACACCAAAACCTTTAATCAAGCTCATGTTTTGGTTTTAATTATTGGGATGTACTTGCTAAGAATTTGTGTTTTGTTTTCCATGTATTTTTATCGGTGCATTATGGGAACACAACTTTACAGGACAGAAAAAGAAATAGAAGTAAATTCTACCTATTTTGGCAGGTTCACTCTCCCAGATATCACATATTGTTTCACTTGGATATTTATCAGGCCAGTGTTTTTGATCTGCTCATTTAGGTCTTGCTGTGCCTCTCTGTGTATTGCATTTATTGTACTCTTCTCAAAGGCCAGATGCTCCCAAATAATACAAATGATACAGACTAGTGAAAATAATGTGACAGTCCTGAGATTAGGAATTGCCTATTCCTGTGGTCCAAATTAGTCAGCTGACGTTGGGGATGGTATTTTAACTAGTGTGCTTCACGGATGAATCAGAGATGACAGCAAAATTAATAAAATGAACCTTTCTTTTTTTTTCTATCTCCTAAGCCCACTTAGCCAGAACTTTCTCTACATATCTCTGGCTGACTTTGTCAACTTGTTCACAGACTTTTTTAAAATGAAAATTTTCTAGATTATGGGTCAAACAAAGATGAAGTCTAGTCTCAATTCTTCAAATATGAACTGGGTAAACTTAGGTCTGTCCAGTAAGCTCTGTCTGTGTTCCACTCCACATAGACACCAGACATGTAGTATTAGGAATAACAGCCAGAAAGAAGCAATTTTATCAAAATAAAGTGCTCAATGCATGTATAATATTCTTAAAAATATATGCAACCGGCTCATGATCTGATGCACACAATCCAAGATATGCATTTCTGCAAGTAACATAGTAAATATTTAAAATGTTGTCAAAATCTGTCAACAGTCTCACAGTAATTTATTTGAGTAGAAAAGTACATGGTTCTAATTGAGGTTATTCTTGTATGGAATGTAAATTTCACTTAGTTTTGTTTCTTATGCACAATTTCTTTCCCACAGAGTATGTGTTCTTTATTGAATGTCCTTTGATGCAAGTTAAATACATGAAATATACTTTCTGCTACCTGATGATTTTTGCACAGCCTGCTTAGTTTTGTAAATGATACAGAAAAAGCCAATGAAGCAATGCTAGGAACCAAACACGTGTAGGAAGTTAATCATTTTCAGAAGGGAGTTTCCTGAAGATTATAAATGAGAAGCATGCTGTTCTGATAAAATATATTTTCTGGTTTGCTTATTTATATTTCTCAATTGAGGAAAAACATTTACAGGGATAAGAAATGAATACCGCTTCACATGGTTGAAAGAGGAAAGTCTTTCTCTTACAAGTACATTGTTCCCTTTTGTTGTAATTTCTACATAAAAAGGTCAAGATTTAACTTGCTTACAACAAGTCTTTCATATTTGAGTTAAATGCAATTACACGTGCATATATGGACGTATATTAAATATTATTATATGTGCATGTTTGTATTTCACAGACAAAACCTTTATTAAAGAAGCATTGTCAGATTCCTATCAAGTCCCTACCAAATGAATGATGAGAATAAGATAGGAGGGCTGGGGTTGCGGCTTAGTGGTAGAATGTTTGCCTAGCACATGTGAGGCACTGAGTTCTATCCCTAGCACCACATAAAAATATAATAGTAATAATAAAAATAATATTCCAATAATCTTTAAAAAGAGAAAAGAATAAGGTAGGAAAGGACCTTACAGAACATACAGGTAATCCATTTGATAGATTCTTGATTAGAAATCCATTCCTCCTATAAACTGGAACCATTCTGGAAGATTGTCAGTACTCAAGAAAAGGAGTATCTTAATAGAGAGGGGAAAAAGTTGTTTTCAACATAGTTTTAAAAGTCTCATTTTTCTCTGTGGTTTGCCAAATGACAGCATTTGAGAGACTGGGATTACTCAAGATCCCAGGTGTCCATCCATAGTGCATGGAGAATTATCCCAGGCTCCTGTTGTTCAGCAGAGAAGTTCATCTTCAGGGCAATTTAGTTCTATTGCCAACTAGGGCATTCTTTAAGGGTCTCTGCTGCCAAACTAAGCCATCAGGCCCTGTTTAATTATTAAAGAGATCAAAAGTGTCATTTTGGCAACTCAGTGCAGAAAATGAAGCTCGATAAATAGAAAAAAAAAGGGGGGGAATGAAGAATTTTACCAGCAGAATGATGCTCAGAAAGCATCTATTTACATTTAAATAGTGTATCAAATAAAATATGTTTTCTGAGAAAACTGAGAGTGACTTCTCTAAGGTAACACTGGGTAAGTTTTAAAAGTAGAAATTATCTTATTTACTAATATCTTGTTTTGAAGCAATTAGGATGTAAAGTCTGGTCATACTTAAAAATAGTTCTGTCTACATACTCCATAACATAACTCAAAATCATATAAAACTTGCTTATACAATTTACAGGTATAATGTTGGGATACCACAATAAAAATAGTAATATTTCTCAGCATTTTTATGCATGGTCAGTGTTAACAATTTTGGTAGCACTAACTATAACACTTCTTCTTTCAGATATCAGAAGTACTGATCCATAAGCTCAACCAAAATTCAGTGCACTTTGAATTGAAGCCTGGGGTCCAAGTTCTGGTCCATGCAGCTCACCTAACAGCAGGTCAGTTTCTGTGTCCCAGGACTCTGGCTAGTGGCCCCGTCAAAGGGAAAGCCCAGACCTTTGAAAAGAGGTGTGAAATTTATTTATTTATTTGAAGGCTACATGATGTCACCACTAATCTTAAATTTGGCACCAGTTCTTTGAAGTTTACTTTTTTGATCGTTCTGCCTTAATGGGAACCAGTTAGACAACAGAATAAGATGATGGTTCCTATGTCTTTATCAAAAATGGTCAGTGAATCACTAAAGACACATCTCCTCACATGATAGCATTCTTCGTCTCAATGGAACTCTTGAAAATAACATTGATCTTATAAGTAACCTTTTTTTCTCTCTTCTTTCTACAAAGCCCTATTTTAAAATCATTCATCTTAAAAAGGATTTGCTTTCTTCAATGTGTTTCGGGTGAAATAGCAGAGACATAGAAGTCACGTAGGACCATAGTCAGGAGGGAAAATTCAAGTTGATCGTGATTTTGCAAGTCACTTAAAGTCACTGAGATTTTGTCACTTCTGTAAAAAATTGGAATAATCCTCCTTCTAAGGCTATGGAAAGATTTCAGTGACAAAACAAATAGTCTCAAGCATTTTATAAATAAATATAATTGTGTATATTAACAAGAAATAAAAAGAGCAATATTTATCAATTACTTTCTTTTTAACAGAGTACTGTGCTGCCATTTAATGGAGTACAAATACTTACAAACTCATAATCTGATTATGGCATGGGAAAGTTTGATGGTAGCAGTGAGATGGTAGTGGGGCATGGATGATAGGCCATCTTAGTTGACTTAAGGTGCATAAATATTTATATAAAGAGGCAAGAGAACATATTTAAGCACTTAAGTTCCATTTTATTTTACATTTTTGCAACCAGGTCATTGTTTCAATTTTGTTCTAGTACTCACTTTGCAGGCTGAGATAATAGACTAAATTCAGTGTGCCTCAGAATTGATAACCTTAGTTTATCAGTGGATCGTGTGAGGATTGGGTTGATTCAGGTAATGCTTTATGTTTTTTTTTTTTTTTTTATTTTAAATAACAAAATCAAAGTTATGTAGGAAACTTAAAGCAGAGATTAATTGTATATGGTCAAAATGATACAGGGAATTTTATAAAAGTAGTGGTCTTTGGGAAGGATCTCAAAGGATGAATAGAACTGAATTCAAGAGATCATTCCAAACACCAAAGAACTAGGGAAAGACAGCCACCAGGGTATTGCATTGAGGATGTGGAATTAGTGAGGACAAAATCCCTAGAAGTCACTCTATGTCTAGAGAAAGGCCAAGCAGGTGGGCCACTGACCTTCTTTCCCTTGGATTTCATCTTTTTCTTTTTTTAGAATTTCATGGAAATTTTTGTTTTATAAGTTCCATTGCATTAAGGAAATAAATATTTAGAAGTCATTGTTCATAGAGGAGGGTTATGTAGCATGCCAGGGTGAACACCTGTGCTTACTTGAGTGGGCTCTGAGAAGTCATCCAGACCTTTGAAAAGAGGTGTGAAACTTATTTAATTAAATTTTCTATTCTGTTCAGAAGGCAGAGTGGATCTCATAATCCTCTCCTGTGGCCGGTGGAGCTACTTCCTCCCTATGAGTTTAGAGGTTGAAAAGCAACTGAACCTGATATTCCATACTGAACTCTATTTGAAGGGATCACTGTCTAGTCCATCCTTTGTGGTCTAAAATTTGCTTTATAGCATACTCAGCTTCTGAATGACGTCTTCAGGCTGTCTGTTGTGCTCGGCACTGGTGTGATTTTTCAGAAAACCCTCCTTTTACCAGAATCATCTACCGAAAGGGGGAGCATCCTAAGTCAAGCTGGACAAACAGCTAGTCTCATGTTTCCAATTCTTCAACTCTGAAGGCTGCCAACATTTCATCATTCTTCTTTCTCTCATAGTTCTCTTCCATAGTTTATTATTTCTGTTTGTTTTTCATTTGACTTATTATTTTTTTATTATATGCCAAATACTGCTCAGATTATTGGGGGGATTTGAAATATTAAATGCTATTTTATCAAATTTTCATGTAAGAATTGGGTTAGAGCTGGGACCAAGTTGAAAAATAGGAATTTAAGAATTTGGAAATTAACTGAGACTGGTTTGACCAAGACTTATGTCAAGATTGGCACGTTTCAACAATTGTAACAAAGAAGCCAAATTTAAGAGGGTTCAGCTTCTTGTTTGAGATCGATCCTAAGTTAGAACTAGCTATCTGATTTAGAAAAACAATACAAAAAATATTTTAACAGGTGTTAGACTCTATCTACCAAAGGCAATAGAGAGAGTTCTCCTTTCACACATGGAAAGCCTGACACTTTGAATGAAGGATTTGTGGGATGAGATAATTGCCACAATTTTTCTCTTTCTTTGTTATCTTTTTCTATTTCTTTGGTACCAGGGATTGAAGCCAGGGCACTTGTCCACTGAGCCGCATCCCAAGCCCTATTTTGTATTTTATTTAGAGACAGGGTCTCACTGAGTTGCTTAGTGCTTCACCACTGCTGAGGCTGGCTTTGAACTCACAATCTTCCTGTCTCACTCAGCCTCCCAAGCCACTGAGATTACAGGTATGCACCACGGAACCTGGTTTTTCCACAATTTCTTTTAATTTGAAATGAACATATTCATTTTTGGGTGTCTAGAAGAGAAGCAGGAGGAAGTTTGAAGAAAAGGAGGAAGAGTGAGGAAGAATTCTCACTTCACTTCACCTCCTTTTCCCTTTCATCTCCCTTGTAGGGAGGGAAAATGATTTTTGTTTTGTTTTGTTTTGTTTTGTTTTAAGAAAAGGACCACTGTTTGCAACATTTCATGTCTCATAAGCAGGATTGCTAATACCTTCCCAGGGACCATTATAACATGCTGCTGCATTCCATTAATTGCTCAGCAGATGTTCAGCAGTCCTGTTTTAAAAATGTTCAAGCCAGAGTCTGTTGCCGGTGAGAACGGCAATTCATAATTTGGGTTGTCTCCAAGGGAAAAAGAACTGTCTCCTTTCAGGAATTCACTAGCCTTATTTTGGTTTTTAAATTCCGTTCCCTGTTTTCTTTCATGAGAATACAAGATAAGCATTTGCAGATACCTGAAGATCATCCAAGATTGGTTTTGCTGGTTTCCTCCTACATGTCAGAAAATGGTTAGGAAATTCTCTTTGCAGGAGAGATTTGAAACTGCGTGAGAATAGGAAGGAGATGAGAAACATGTTATCAATAAGTTTGAGGAACGTGACCTCAGTGGCTCCCTTAGGCATTTCTGACTTTGTGGCTGCCAGTGACCATGTTTAGCAGACAAAGTCTGGGGCATTACAGAATAATCCAGAGAGTTGGAAAGGGAGTAAAAATCATCATGTGGGAATTGGTCTGGAAGCACCAGTGTTTTGACTAAAGTGTATCTTTGCTCATGCTATCCCTGATTGGAATATTTTTCCCAACTTCTTCACCTTTCTTCATCCCCTTATTCTATTTGTATTTTAAGGCTCAGCTCAATGCCAGTATTCACATAGAAACTTTCCAGAGAGCTTTGCCTAAATGACATCTTTCCCTGGTCTGAACTCACATGTATTTTTAAATCTATATCTTTCTGATGATAATGGTCATGACCAATTGTTACCATAATTTTCATCATTCTTATTTAAATCCTGTGGGTGTGGTTCATTGTATCTTTATATTGTCTCCATCATGGTACCTAGCAGAGAACTTGTGCATAGGAGGTTCTCAACAACAAATATTACTTTGGTAGCAATTAGATGTGTAACGAATGTATAACCTTAGCAATATAGTAAAAATCTCATTCTCTCAATTAGTCTTTAGATCCAACTTATTCAGTTGGGAATCATATTCCCTGTCGCCAAACAACTGGTTTGTGGAGACTTGCATATATTTATTCAATAAGCATCCAGGGGAAACCCACCTCATTTTTCCCATATGGCATTAATTACATTGCTTATATGTGGCAAGCATTGGGAATGGGCAGGTTGAAGGAAAATTAGATTCATGCTCTCTAGATTTTTGTGTCCTAGAAAAAGAGGTCTGAGAAGGACTCAAAAAAGGACCAACAAGAGGCTGTTGCTGAAAGAGAGTGAATCAAGTACAACTTATTAACCCTTATTCTATGTTCTGCTCCCATACAAGAGAGTTTCCAATTTAAGAAATCAATGTCACATCATGATGGGGCTCCAGGTCACATACCTGTTATGGAACCATCCTCACCTTACCAAACAAACATTTTTTGTGACATTTCCCTTGCCTTCCCTCTCTCTCACTTATGCATTTGCCTTGCCCTTCTGAATTATGCATATATGTATATATACATATATTACATATATATGTGTGTGTATATACACACACATATATAAAAAATATGGCATTTATTTATTTATTTATTTACTTATTTTGGTAGGGTAATTTACCTCAGGGGCACTCAACTACTGAGCCACATCCCCAGCCCCCTCCCTTTTTTTTGTATTTTATTTAGAGATAAGGTCTCAATGAATTGCTTAGGACCTTTCTAACATTGCTGAGGCCAGCATTGAACTCACAGTCTTCCTGTCTCAGACTCCTGAGCCACTGGGATTACAGGCATGCAACTCAACTTGAATAATATATCTTAAGAGCAGTGAAGTCATTTTAAGGGGGAATGTTTTCCAGTGATTCTGGAAGACTCTGATTCAAACCATTTGGTTTCTCTAAGTATTTGTGGAAGAACAAATCCCATCCATTAAGAAAATATTCATGAAATCCCAAAAGTTTTTTTATTGCTTCTGGTAACTTCAGATGTATCATCTTATTCCTCACATGACTCTAGGCCTCATTTTGCAATTATTACTTAAAACCTATGGTTTCTCAGAGGTCGTGAAATGAATTAGGACTCTCACTCACTCCATACTGGCTAGACTTGAAGCACAGGTGCTAGCTAGTACATGAACATTCACTAATTGTAACTACAAAGAATAAAAAAATATATATATTAGTTGCAGAAGGTTTGGTAAGGACAAGACTTT